AAAAAAAAAAAAAAAAAAAAAAAAAAAAAAAAAAAAAAAAAAAAAAAAAAAAAAAAAAAAAAAAAGAAGGATCCATAGTTAAGAGGATCCTTTGGGAAAATTTTGTCTTGGGGTAGAAATCACTGAAGAAGAGGAATAATGGTCAAACAGGGACAGCTGGGTAGAGGAGGCAGAAGAGAGAAGGACCTCGGGTTGGCTGAAGGTCTGTTCAGACTTGAGGCATTTTTATCCTGGGAGGAGACACAGGGCTCAGAGTCTGCCCCTGGGGTGTTAGTGCTGGAGACAAACCAACCTGCAGTTTGCTTATCCTGAAATAACAGAGGAGGAGTTCAAATCAGTTTATTTTGTTTATTGCTTGACTTCAGGAAAACTGTACCTTGCCATTATGTGCTATTCTGTTTATCTCCTCCAGCTTTAACAAGCTGCTATCATTTAAAACACTGATTCCTTAGTGTGATGGGAAAGGAAATTTCCCCAGGTGTCTGAGCTGGGGCTCAAATCAATCTTCACAACAGACCTTCACAGATAATCAAAGCCAGCCCTTATGGCTGCCAATCAGGGCCTTCCAGAAGAAAAGGCTGCAGCCGTGTTAAGAGCTGTGAAAGGAATACCTGTCCCCCAAAAAACTGCCCCCAAAAGTCCAAAGTGTGGGAAATGACACAGGGCCACAATTCTGACCAGGATTAAACTTTATTCCAAGAAGTACAAGAAAACAGTGCTAGTTCAGCCCAGGTAGACAACCAGAAGATCTTAATGGAACAGGAGGGATCCAACCATAGGCAAATTTTAGAAAAAGAGAGTTTAGCCCAGTAGGATCTGGAAGTTGTAGGTTTTTCCTTAAAAATATAAACCAACAGCCCCAGAGTATAGTTTCTGCAAAGTGCAATAGTGTAATTGCCCTGTGACAATATATTGTTTTTTCTGACAAAGCTTCTTTTGTGTCCTTGTGTTTTTTCTACAGCAGATATTTATAGACGTTGTAGTCACAAAGCTCCTAAAAGCACTTCCTGTACATTACATAAAGGTCTGTCTCCCTTCCAAAATCACAAGGACCTGTTCACAAGCTTCCCATTACTTTTGAGACCTTTATTTTACAGGGTAGATAGATATGTTACCATACACTATCCACATGCTCAAGGAAAACACTTGCCCATAGGAGAGGGCTGGGGGGGGACAGTCACAGGCAGACAGCAAATGGGATAGTGACTGCAAGTGGTTTGTGTTGGCAGTGGTGGTTTTGTTGTTGGGTTTTTCAGATGTTCAAAATGATTTCTTGAGCAGACTTTTCTTCTGACATTGCTTAACCAGATTTACCAGCGTGACCTGTGTTATGCTATTGATTTCTTCCTCGACAGAAATGCCTGTGACTGTGGCCTTTCTTTAGTATCCATCAAAATGTTGTGTGCTCCCACCTCACTCAATATTTTCACAGTAAAGTAGCTGTGCAACTTTCTGTTTAGATCTGGACTATGTTCGCCTTTATTGATGAGACCCTGGCACATTCCCAGCAAAATTAGATTGTTTAGAATACAGAATATTCTGGAATAGATCTAATGTGCCTGGGTTAATTTTATATCCAACTGAGCATAAAATGGTTGATTCTAGTGTTCAACAGGAAAACATGAGATTAAAGAATTGATCTAATCTGCATTGTAGTTTGTTAAAAAACATCACTTATTTTAATGGGCCTAAACATGCACGTTGCCTGGAGTTCAAAGGAAAATGAGATCCAAGCAAAAGGTATAAAAAAATGTGGAGAACACATTGCATAGTAAACAATCCCATGAGCTCATGCTGTGCCCTTTCTTTGCCTGCCTTTGATGTTGGAGCTCCCATTTTATTCTTGCAGACTTGATCCTGCTGCCTTTGAATTTAGTGAGAAGACTGCTCATTGACTTTGGTTGTGCAAAAAACCTGACTTTAGATTCTTACATGACTTTTTGGAACAATAAAGGAGTTTTATGTATTTTATTGTGTGATGGGATCCTAAGCTCTCACAGTAGAGGAAGAAAACAGAACCAGGGCTGTGTTGCACTGGCTTTCTGCTCCCAGGGACAGGAGAGGAGCTGTATCCCCATTTTCCATCTGCTGTCCTTTTTCCTCTCTTCACCAGAATGCCAAAGTAGACAAGAGCAATGGAGCAAAAAAGGATCAGTGGGGGTACAATAGAAAGGAGCAAATGAAGGGTAGAGGGAGAGGGCTGTAGTTGGTTGATATAGAACCATAGAATCTTAGAATGGTTTAGGTCAGAACCTTTAAAGTCCAACACTCACCCTGCAGTGAACAGGGACATCCTGAACTAGTTTCAGTTGCTGAAAGCCCCATTCAATGTGACCTTGAATGTGTAAAGGTTGTGGAAGAGAGGAGGTGACTGACCTTCCCACACTCTGTGCTACAGTTGTACCACAGTATTTTTGATGGGGAATGGGATATCACTTCACAAAATTCAAACAATGTCACTCACTGTGGATATAAGGCTGCATGCTTCTTCTCAAGGGTGTGTTATTGCTTCTCATGCAGATAATCATGAACACAAGATGTGTGAAACACTACCTACATTTCCTAATTGCTAGAGTAGTATTATAGCACCAAGCTTCCCCCAGGAAAGGAAGGAAAAATACCTTCAGGCTTGAGAAAATAGAAATAGCTTACCTTGTCCAGCTTGCATGTTCCTCTACTCTCTCACATACAGAAAAGAACAAATTCTCTTGAATTTGACTCTATCTGTGACTCAGACTCCTGCCAGCAGCCACTTCCAAAGGTGGCCTCCACCAAATGAGCAATCCCTGACATAAGAGCCTGGGGCAACGATTGGCTGAAAACAAAATCCTGCCGAGGCCACTCACAAGAGCAGACTAAGACAGACTGGCCCTAGTCTCTGCAGATGGTTTTAGATTAAGGTTTACTGTGCAATAGCAAGGATTAGAAAGTGCCAGTGGAGGCCGAAGTGTCACAGCTCCAGATTGCTGCCACCGTAGTCCCACAGGAGACAGAACTCTCCTGGCTGTGGAAAGAAGAGCCCAGGGAGATGTAAAATGTCTTGCGGGGGAGGCTGCAGGCACTAGAGAATGGAGAGAGGCAGCGGAGGGCACTCAGTGGGAGGGGAGCAGAGGGGCTGTGAGCATTTCACAGTTCATTACGGCTTTGACAATGTCTGGCAGCGTCACACACTTCTAATTTAATTTGGAATCGAGGTGATTTCCCAACACATTGTTTTGCACTTGAAACTTCTCTCTTAATTCCCCTTTTGTTAATCTATTAACAAATTAAGATGTTTTCTGTAGCAGATGAAAAAACTTGTGTTCGCAACTGCGCAGCACTGGTTTGAAAATAGTAAAAAGAAATGTAACAGCTCAAATACAGGGTGTCTACTTGGAGAGTAAACACGTCTTCAGTGTTAGCTCAGCTTTTAAAACAAACTTAGTAATTGCTTCCAGAGATAAAATATTTGCAAGCCATTATTACAGCACACTTTCATTAAAGGGAAGGAAACACGGGAACAGAGAAAGCTGTGCTCCGTAATTAATCTTTAAGAGCTGTCAGGTACCTGCACCTCTGACAGTCCAACATTAAAAGCTTACCAGCAGAGCATTCATCCGTGCTGCTGTTTCCCAAGCCACCCAAAGGAGGTCGTGAATTTGTTAATTAATTTCTGGGAAACACCATGGATCTGTCTCTGAAAGCAAATAACAAATAGCCCAGGGAGATGTAAAATGTCTTGAGCAGAGAACACAAGCCTGTAAGTGATTTAAGAATATTGTGTATTCTTGAAAAGCAGTGGAAGAGGAGGGACTGTGTCAGCCAGCTCCTCTCCTTACACAGAGAGGTGTTTTTTCCTGAAAGTGGCTGTTTCACTTCAAAGCCTCTGATCCTGCAGCTGATAAAATTGAGAGCCAGTGGAGCTGCTTCTTCATGCCAGGACAGGTTGGATTGGGGACTGTGGAGATAATAGAGGTAGCATTTTGCTTTCTAGAGATTTCTTTGGGGTTATGCAATACAAGGTATTTGTTGTCTGCAGAAACATCCCTCACAGACAGCAGCATTTCCGATCATGGTTTTAGTTCAACTTCTCTTGTCCTTGACATAATTTGGAACAATTTTGCACTAAAAATAACTAGGCAGGAAAAAATAATAAAAACAAAGAACTCAAACAAGGCATAAATCTGCATTGTTTCCCTCTTCAGGGCTAATAATATGGTGATATGGTAGCAGGCCACAGAAGTAATTGCTCCATATCTACACTGCACACATGCTGCATCAGAACAGCACATTTCTGTTCACAGGGACACAACCTAAAATTAACCACCAAGAGCTCCATAGCATAGCAAGCTCAGTTAAAATTATGTTTAAAAAATATAGAGCCTCACTAGCAGTGATAGGACATCTGAATACACAGCCTGCTTCAGAGGTTCTAGCATTTTCAGTAGGAACCTGGTACATGTGAATCCCAGGGTTACTCACATGTTTTACAGTAAACACTTGTCTGGATTAAACCTCTCTGTACTTAATTTTTAGCCAACTGGCTACTCAGAATTTAGAAATTGAGCAACTCTTGGCAGGGCTGATTCTCTCTGGCTGTGTAATATACACTATGATGTTGTGATCCCCCATTGCAGCCAGAGGCAAAGCCCACTTTATGTAGGAACCCTGCTGCCCAGATCTCTTGCCCAGGAGGAAGACTTCATGTTACACTTGCAGTTTTTCCTGAAATGCTTTGAATCCCCACCTTACTGTACTCTAATTGACTAGGTCATCTCAGCAGAAACTCCTCCTCCACCTCTGTTAAGGGAAGGCCTTTATGGGACCGTAAATGTACACGGCATGCAACCCTTTTTCTGACTGGGGGATCTTTACTTGGGACTGGAGCACCTTAGGGAACAGGCTGCTGGATTTTTATGTGACTCTGTAAAGCCA